TTCCAGAATTATTGCGTGTGGTCACAATGATCTCTTGTGCTCACACTCACACATAACATTAGTGTCAGTCTTGGCTTTTCCCAGAAAAGTCCAAAACAAAGGGGAAAAAATCCCTGGCAACGTGCTTTTTGACATAAAAGATTGTTTCCAGGAGGAAAGTTTCACGATTAACAGTAAAAGTAGGGAGAAAGTACCAGGATGAGGAAGAAACAAATACAAATAAATTTACATTTTTATCTATAGATCTACTTTCTATATCATTCTAGCCAAGAATGTGATAAACCCACAGCAGACAGTAATCCATAATTTAAAGCAATCCACTGAGACCTTGCACAAAGACCACTTTTTTTCATATCAGGCAAATAATCTTCAACAGTAACAAGGCCAGTAAACTAATCTAAATGGCGGACAATTTCTTGCAAATCGTAACTCAGATGCCGTTTTTGGATGTCACTAAAACATCACTGACGTAAATTTAACTTGTTCATATAGAAGTGTATGTGCAAAATACAGCTCTCCTAGTCCACCCCTTAAGCATGCAAGAAAATCAGGGGTTGCCTTATGTCAGACTCTTGTCTGTCAAGAATTAGGTTATTAAATACAAAGCAGAATCTAGAACTTAAAGCATGGTAGTTGAAAACAATCTTATCTTTATCACTACATACATTTTTATTTGCCTCTGGCAGCATTCTTCAACTTCATTTTCTTTATTCTAGATAAAATACTGTTTACAGTGAAATCTACGTTTCAAATGCTACTTCTACCTGACTTCTTGAAAAGTTTCTTCTCTTGTGGAGACTAACCTATAGTAAACATGCATCAAGTTTTAGCACAATACATCACCAACATACTTGTCTCCAAACTATTTTGGGATATTTGAGAATGACAAGATTTCAAGGTGGAAAGACACAGAAAAAGTCATGGAATCACAGAATTGTTTGGGTTGTAAGAGGCCTTTAAAGATAATATAGTTTCAATGTAGGTTACATGTAGGGTCAACTCTCACTAGACCAGGTGAATCAGTACTCCATCCAACCTGGCCTTGAATACTTCCAGAGACAGGGCATCCACAACTTCTCTGGGCAACATATTCTAATGCCTCACCACCACCTGACTAAAGAATTGCTTCTTAGAATCCAATCTAAACCCCTCCTCTTTCACTTTAAAACCATTTCCCTTTGTCTATCACTGCCTGCATAAAAAGGTCTCTTCTCCCTCTTTTTTATAAGCCACCTTTAGGTACTGGAAGCTTGCAATGAGGTCTCCCTGGCGCCTTCACTTCCCCAGGCTGAACCCAACTCTCCCAAACCATCTGTATAGGTGAGGTACTCCAGCCCTCTGAACATCATTAATGTGCTCCTACACATTTCAAATCAGTCTGTGACCAGAAATAACTAGGGGGTTTATGTCATGCTGCTACCACAGCATCACAAAACATATCTATCCAATGTGTCCGATGTTTTTGTTGCAGAGTCACACACCGTAGCAGTATAAAAAACAAAAATGGAAGTGTGATTATTTTTCCATTAACAGCCGCTGAGCTAACTGCTGTCCTAATTTACAAACTGACAAGTTCCTCTGTGAAATACATTGCCAAGATAATTTACCAATATGTCAAAACTGATATGGGATTCAGTTATGTACTATTTCTGTAGTTTCCAAACCATTACTCTTCCACTAGGATATTTTTCCATATTGAAGTTTCCATTTGCAAGGTTCAGCAGTAGCACAACTTCTTCTAGTTGCCCTACGCAATTCATCCCCCACACCTAAGAAGTTGTATGACAAACATCAGCCTTGACTAATCCTTTAAAAGCGTAAGTTTCCAACAACTTTGGTTGTCTCCCACAATTCATTACCTTGGTAACAGAAACTAAGTTTCAATTCATCATGGTTTAAGGTAACGCAGACATTAAAAACAAAGATCATGTGCCACTAAACTGCTATCGTCTCTGGAAATCAGGAGCTCACAGACTCCTTTTCACAGCTATAATAAAGCTTTTGAATAGCAGTGTATTTATTATGCATTTATTAGCTATGCAGCTGCATATTTAGCAAGCAAACAATATCCTGGTAAAATGAAACCAGAGTAACACATTCAACACCTGTATTTGTCTTCAGACAGCAAACATGATTGATAATTTTTTGACTCTAGAGATTGTCCTGATTAAACACGAATTAGGGAGAACCTATTGTAGGCTTGGTAACTTTTTTAATTAAAGTCTTTTATTTTTAGGTTTGAATGAACATGATTTGATTCATTGTTTAGTACCCTAAATAGAATAGCAGACTACTTGTTTTTTAACACTGGTTTTGCTTTTCAGCTCTAGAAGAACTTTAAAGACACTGTGTTATCTTTCTTACCTTCCTGACTGAAAGCTCTTCCATGTGCTGTATCACAGTGAATTATGTCAGCACGTACTGACTAGAAGTGACACTGGTCTGGATAGATTGGATCAAAAGCTTTGTTGTTATGCTCAAAGGACACCAGGTGGTGGTGGTAAGGCTCCTTAGCAGCACATTTGCATTTCTTACATTGTGACATTCACTTTGTCTTTCTCTCCAGGCTACCTTCTCTCCTTCAAAATGTGCACTGCTAAAAGCTTTGAGACAAAAATAGTAATACTGAGCCTTGGAAAGTCCAGCCAACATGTTTCTGATAGTATTCTCAAGTGGATACCAGCTAGAAGGGGAAGAGTAAGCCAAGCATACACAAGCACTTTTCTGAGCAGTGTCCCTGATGCCAGACAGAAGGCTAAGAGTGGTGTCACTCCAAGTCATCTGGATCATTCCAATCCTCTATGTTTCCCAACCTGGCCCTAGGAAGTATTTATTAAGCTTTACCAGACTACCATTTAATGAAAATAGTCTGGTACAAATCTCACTCTACCAGCTTAAAATTAGACATGGCACTATTAATATTTAAATTTGACACACTGATAAAGTTGTCAGGAATATTCCTTAAAGTCTTGTATTCACAAACTATCAAAATGCATTTAGAACTTTAGGGAAATACAGTGTCCTGGTTAATAAGGCTGCAGAACATGAGCCATTTACTTTCCCCTTTTTTCCCTTGTTTTATGCTAAACCCGTAATTCGCAAACTTTCTGTTCTATTCAGTCATATAGTTCAGAAAAAAAAAGCTATCCCTACTTCTAACACAACATTCCTATACAACATAGGAATGCACCACACTAGACAGCAAAGCCTCTAGGTAGTGTTTGAATAGTTTAACTGTAAAGGCATAAGAACATCATAATTCAGGACATTCACAAAGCTCCTCAGATAATTGAGAATGACTCATAACTCAGGAGCTACAGAAAAATCTACTACTGAAGAGCTTTGAGAGCAAGAAATCAAGTCAGGTATATAATAATTGACTTTTTTCAACATTCAAAGCAAACAAATTCAATCTGTGAAATAATTTTATTACTTCTGGCAATGAATGCTTGATATAAATTAAGTAATTGGGCAAATGATAAATATCAGCACATGACACTTTCTTCTATAAAGAAAAGTTCTCTACTTGGATATTAGTTTCAATTTTCATACAAGAGTTATGAATATTTTAAGGAATGCCCAGTTTTTTTACTGTGATACACCACATACATTTGCAGGTACAGAGCACCTTTTCATGGCCTGTTACAACTACCTGACACAGCAGCGTCATTAGAGCTTGTGCTGAAGTTGACTTTCACTTGGCACCTCCAGTGCAATACACAAATTCCCTAGAATAAGAACTGCCAAAGGGAAGAAACTGCTGCTGTTTGCAACTCTGCCTACAAGGGCCAGCAGGCCAAGAGATGCTGTTCTCATGAGAGTGCCTGGTAAAAATGACAGATTTCTATATTAACTCAGTAGGTCATAAGTTCAGTGCAAAATCTGAAAAAGCATTTACACTAAAACAGTTGTTAGTAGCTCAAATAAAATTTAATAATTCATCTGTTTTCTGCACTCTTTTCCTGTTTCATTTCTTTGAATACTTCAGATCTACACTTGCCAACTGTTATAAACTATAGCCTTCTTGTTATAATTCACTTCAAGCTGAAAACAAAATTAAAATCTCATCCAATAAAACTCTGATAACATCAGGCCTACTGTTTTTATGACTAAAATTAAAAGCTTTATTCATACTGCAAAGCAGTCGGAGACAAGATGGAGTAAGCACCATTCTGACGGGCTCTGCACTAACACAACAGGGGAGAACCCTCTGACCTAAAAGACTGACAAGTCTAAATCATTCGGGGGATGTTTTTTGGAGTCTGAGGCACAGAATCCTACAGCCTGAAGGAATATTGGATAGTGCAGAAGGGAGGAGAGAAGTAAAGTGAATCCACTCTTATTACACAGAAGGTAAACTTTAAGCAGAATCCACCTTGGAGACAGTTTTCAGTGAAAAGATTTCAGTGAAGACTGATTTAAAGCAAACATAAGATACAAAATTCATAGGTTTTTGAAGAAATACTGTGCTGAAACTCCCTTAAAAACAAAGCAGAACCAGAAGTTCATCCTACTTTATAAACAAGTACCATTTTCATAGTACTTTTAACATGCTGAAGACTTACTCTACCATATGACTTTACATGTTGAAATATTGTAACTGCAGCTTTCCTCATGTGATTAATTAAGCATTTATTTTCAGTCTCTGGAAGGATTTCAAGCTGAAATATGTGGTATAGACCCAGACTGAAAAAAAAAAAATTTAATAGGTAACTGGAAAAAATAAATGCTATGTTAGCTAGATAGGCTGAGTGTAACTCTAGTAATTAAAAGATGAAACTGCTGAAACGGATACTTGCCCTTATCCCTTTACAGTGTGAAAAAAGTAACCATCAAGTTGAAGTCCATTTAAAAAGCACTAAAGATAAATAATGGGAGTGAGAAAAAGCACAAGGGCAGGAAAGCAAACATGTATGTGAGCATATACATATAACACATGCATGCTCATAATGACTGCCATGTATCAGTAATAAACCACCTGAAAAGCAAAAATGACTAACCTCCACATTTTGGTGAAACTGTGCATCAGGCTCACACAGCAAGGCAGAGCTGGAGGTTTGAGTCCATCCATTTGAAGGAGGAGGCCAGGAACACCATACAGAATCAGATATTTCACATAAAAGAAAAGTACTTGAGCTAAAGCCAGGCCACCTAAAAGAAAAAAACAACAAGACATACCTTAAACAAGTCCTGAAACATTTTAAAAACCTATTAATACTGATTAGCTCCGAACAGCAATTATTCCAAGATCTAAGGCAAGAACAATTGCTTGCTGGGATACACAATATTTGTCTCTGCACAAGAGACACAGCACACAAGCCCAAGTATTTAGGACATTAGTCACACATACAAAATGGTACCATCATTCCAGCATGAGGACACAAATATAAATCTGTAGATCCACTCTCAAAAATCTCTGGACTGTGTGTGTTGACTGCTATGAAAAAAAAAATAATTGACTTCTGTTGAGCTAAAAATTAGAATGTATCAAGATAAGCAATGAACATTTACCACAGGGACAGTAAATTTATCTTTGCAAAAAATCCCCAACCAACCACTCTACACATGTTGCTCCAGAACAGCCATAGACAACGGTTATAGCTGCACATTATCCCAACATCCCCATAAACATTCCATGCCCTGTCAGATTACTTGAGTCCCCAGAAAATACCCCCTGCAAGATCCCCTTCTGCTGCATCCAAGGCATAGAAAACTGGAACTCCACTTGGCATAATGCTTAAAGCATATTTCAGTTTTTAAATCCACAGACAAAGGTCTCCTTAAGGTCCTGTAGCTGCCTTATTTCCAAAGGAGAAATTCTGTCAGTGTGCTTGCTCACAGCCTCAGGTTATGACACAAACTCCAGTATCTTACACAGATCTGAGATAAAAATCATACATATTCTCATTATTATTATTCATGCAAGTAGCAATGTTAGAATGCATTATAAAGGAAGATGATTCCTACTAATATTATAAAAGTTTTTTGTTGAACAAAGTGTTAATGTCCAATAAGTAAAAATATGGTAAAAAGCAGAGGCCAACACCTTTACAGAAACTGGTGAGGTCATTCCTGAAGGGCCCAATGACTTCTGGCTTTCCCCATCTGACAGCTGACACATGGAAAACCTCACCACAAAGAAAGGAAACTAGAATTATGCTTCAATTGAGAAAAAAATTATAAAATGCAATTGCTACATCTCCATCTATTCCAGTGCTCTGCTTTTGCTCAGTTATATTACCTAACTTGACTGAAGGACTTTGGACATTCAACACAATTTTAAAGCCTTCCAGCAGACTGTCCTTTGAGACAAAGTTTTTCATCTGACTGCAGGAGTACAATTCCATGAACATTTAAGTAACCTGTCTTTTTTTTGAGGAGAGAGGGAACATACCTACTGCATTCTGCTGACTAATGAATATAATATGGATGACAACCAAAAGTTAAGAATTAAAAATTCATCTACTGTATAACAACCTAGAGTGAAATTCTGGCACTAATAATGTAAAACTCCTGCTGGCCTACACATGGCCAGTATTTTGCTACAACAATCCAACACTTTTAGTTTTGATATCATAATCCATGTACACGATAAGAAACAGTTGTGCCACACAAGATAAAAATTGATGTTAGAACAAATACTGAGACATGAAGCTTATGTTATTTTACTTCAGGGAAGCAGGCATCGAGTATTCAATAACATTTTTCCCCAGAGGAAAACAAACAATCAGAAGCACAATTTGGATACTAGCCAATTAGCTCCACATTAGA